TTGTGGGAGGCGACACAGTCGTGGGTGAACAGGGTGTAGAGGATGGGACTGAGGACACATCCCTGTGGGGTGCCGATGTTTGTAACAATGCTGGCTGAAGTCCTATTGCCAATCCTGACAATGGTTGTGGTCTTAAAGCAGGTGGGAACGATGCTCTGGCTAAGGGAGAGGTTGAAGATGGTGGTGAGAACATCAGCCAGCTCGCTGGCACATGCCCTGAGAGCCCTCCCAGGGATGTTGTCCTGTCCTGCTGCTTTGCGGGGGTTGATCTTCCTCAGGCCTGCGTACCTGGCCTGGTGAGACAGTTAGTGGAGGGGAGGTGGGGGGTTGGGTGGTCTGGGTGTGTGTGTGCCTCCTCTCTGTGCTGTTGCTGGAGGTCTCAAAGTGGGTGCAGAAGGTGTTGAGGTCATCTGGCAGGCTGTCTGTGGGGCTGATGATGCTGCTGGTGGTCCTGTAGTCTGTGATGTGCTGCAGGCCTTGCCACATACGTCCGGAGTCAGCAGTAGAATAGAAGCCATTCAGCTTCTCTCTGTACTGCCTCTTGGCCGTTGTGATGGCTTTCCTCAGTCTGTACTTCACAGTTTTGTACTCCGTCTCATCACCTGATCTGAATGCATGAGAGCGAGCACGCAGCATGTGGCGTACCTGACCATCTATCCAGGGCTTCTGATTGGGGAACCTCCTGACTTGTATGGTTGTCAATACAGGTACTAATGTATCCGGTCACATGCTCAGCATAGTCCTGTACGCTGACAGAAAAGTCCTCCAAGGACACATCCCAGTCTGTCTGGGTGAAACAGTCCTGCAGGGTGCCTTCAGTCTCTGGGGTCCAGAGTTTAATTTGTTTGGTGACAGGGTTTGTTTGTTTCAGTCTTTGTCTGTAAGCTGGATACAGGAACAAAGAAATGTGGTCTGAGCATCCAAGGTGGGGGCGGGGTGCGGCCCTGTATGCACCACATACTGTATGTTACTGTAAACATGATCCAGAGTGTTCTTGCCCCAGGTGGGAATGTTCAAATGTGTCAGCGAAGCTGTAAACACAGGTCCTGGAGAGAACCAACAAAACAGCCCAGGAAACACAGGCCATAACAGCAGAACTGGCCTCTGATGATCTGGCATCAGAAATAACTTTACAGGACGAGCTGCAGGAGACTATTGAACAAATTGTCGCTTTTCAGTTAGAACTCCCACAAGAACAGCAAGAATGTTTACAGGAAACAGCAAGAGGAGTTGGGAGAGAGAAAAAA